GCAGTCCAGCAGGCAGGACCTGGCAGAGCAGAGCGGGGCTGGATGGGGAAGCTTGGTGCTTCCGATGGGAGCTCTGCACCGCCATGGCCAGGCACCCCCTGGCCACCTGGCAGCAGAGAGGGGCACAACCTCCCACCGCCACCCCTACTGGTGCTGGACAGGCAGGGGGTGCCTTGCCATGGCAGCACGGGGCTTGTGGCAGTGGCATCAAGCTTCTCCACCCCACTCTGCTCTGCCATGCCAGCTGCTGTCCTCCCTCCACGGAGGCCTTGCGGGGAAGGCAGCAGGGCAGGGAGCCGTGAGCCTACAGTGGGCAGCCCCCTCCCACCCCCACCGCCAATGGGCTCCACTCCGGCCCTCCTGCCCTTGGGGGAGGGGGAGCCAGAATCCATGCTCCCCTCTGGGGCCGTAGCAGCCTCTGCCTCCCACCAGCAGCAGCCAGGGTGTGGGCACTGCTATGGGGGATGGGGCTGCGGATCTGGGTCCTTGGCCCTGTAGCCCTGCCAGCTGGGAGCCCCTTGCGATAGGGCTGGGGAAGGTGGGAGGCTTTGGGTGGGAAGTGAGGGGCACAGCGGGGCTGTGGGGCTGTGGCTTGGGAGTGAGGAGCAATGCCAGGGGCAGGGCACTGGCATATCAGGGATGCTCAGCACCACAGACCAGTGGCGGGGGGGACAGCCTCAGCTGGACCCACCTCCTGGTGAGTGAAGGGGGCAGGGGAGCTCTGATTTTCCATGATAAGAAACCCGAAATCAGGTACCAACATTTATAGGTATTTAGAATTTATCTTGTTATAGTGACTGAGGCACTGCTAGGCTTTCAGATTGCTTTAAAATTGTAAATATATCAATAAAACATTATGTTCAATGGATGCCAATACATATAGTGGTGTTTAATTTTAATTGTGGATTTTGGGATTTTTAATGAGAGAATTTGCAATTTCTAAACAGAGAAAACCAGGATTCCTGCTTATCAGTCAGGGTGGAGGGTGTGTGAGAGGAGGGTTGTGCTGCAAGCAGTGAACCAGAGGGAAAGTCAGAGCCTGTGGGATAGAGATAGTGGCTCAGAGGGAAAGTCAGAGCCTGTGGGATAGGGATAGTGGCTTGGGGCACAGCTCATCCTGGGTATTCAGGGTCCCCACATGGAGATCCAAGCTTGCAGCCTGGGCTCTAACTCCTGGAGTCTCCTGTTCTGCCCCACTAGCCCACAGCTCAGTCCATGCATCTCTGGCCTGGTTTGACTGCAGTTCAGTGTCTCGGGGCAATGCATTCCCTCCCACTTGAGAGCCTGCTTATATTTCCCTTTGGGAAACTCGAAATGGCCAAGCAGGGATTGTCACTACAGCTTCCCAGCATGGGAAGGGGGCATAGTTTTCCCATGACCCCACGGGTGTGGGCAGCCCTGTCGCATCTTGTGAAGCTCCCCAAATGCAAGTATGAGTTGTTTCCCAAGTCTGTTCAGAAAGAGGGGGGCACCCCTGAAGTGGGGGTGGGTAACTTTGGGGGATGGGATTCCAGAAGGCTGATGCCCTGACTGGGATGGAGATGAGGTGGTGCTAGGTTGTCTGTGCCTCTTGTTGGCTGTGCTGGGGGAGAGAATAGAGGAAAGGGCCGTTAGGCATTCTTTCCTTGCATTTGTAGCTTGGTACTGGGTCTCTTCTACTTGTACCTCTAACAGCATGCACTGAGGCAAGGGCATGCATAGGCATCTGTGTCCAGCAGCATGTGGAGGATGCCCTGCCCACCTACTCTCTTCTTTGCTCACCAGGTCCCAGAAAGGAGGCATGAGCGCATATAATGTGAGCCCAGGCTCTCTCTGTCAAGTGTGTTCACTGGCAGGTGCTCAGTGCTGCTTTGAGGTGGCTTCATCGCCTCATTTCTGAAGTTAGTGCTTGGGGAGTGGGAGCGTGGGAGCAAGGGAGTGGGGGATGCTTCACCAGGAAGGTGCAGACATGTCTATAGTGTCTGGGTTGCACAATGGCAGGGGGCTCCAAACTTCCTTTTCTCGCTTGTGTGTGCGCGCGTGTGTGCACACGTGCATGCAGATATGTGCATGTACACACACCATGCAGGAGCATACACATTAGAGGCAAG